TGATTAGCTACTTATAACGAGACTTTACTTACTAAGGACATTTAACTTGTTATGTTGCCAAGAAAAAAAATAACAGTATCTGGTAACTACCAGAATTCAAAAACTTCATATATTACTTACATCATGGAAAAATTATTTTAACAGAAGGTAATCATTTCACACAGTTCAATAAAATAAAAACATGGTAGTCATTTTTGCTTCACATTTATTTATGTAAATCCGTTGATGATATTATTGGATAATATGATACCTCAAAACTCAAATCCTAACTGTTCTTTAAAGGAAAAACGTAATAAATTATGGAATGGTTTACTATTCTATCAAAAATTAAGCATAATAAAATACTATGATTTACATAAATAATTAGTTGTCACAGTTTCAACAATTGAAAGTAACTAGCCAATATGAACAAGCTTATATCTTATTGTGATTTAAAAATTATCATTCAAGATTACATGATTTTAATTCTGGTGACCCTATTTTTAAGAGAATAGCTTTAATCCACATGATGAAATTCAGAAAATGTTATCTCACATGATAAGAACTTGTAGACTAACATTTACCTATTTAATTACAACACTATCTACTCTTAGCATTAGAAGATATATTTTTGGTTGGATAACTCAATACAGAAATTCTCATTTTACCATAATATTTTTGACTAGTTTATTTACAAAACCATCGGTTTATGGGCTTAAAGTACTGCTCTCACCGTTAGTTGATGAAATACAAATTTGGTATCATTCATGAATATTGATCGGATCATGTGGCATACAGTCTTTACTTTGTGATATCATAACAGATACTGTTATATTAAGTACATTTTTCAGTTGATAACTGTATCTCGATTTGTTAGATTGCTATAGAAATAAGAGGATGTTAAATTTGATGGTGTGCGTTCATTTATTTCAACATTAAGACTAAAAAAAATCCTTCAAGTAGGTGAATTTAGTAATACAATTAGTAGAGTATGGTATTCATAGTTGTCATGCCTTGATTCAAATTTTGTCATGATTCTATCCATTTTTCAATTTCAACTATCATCTTTTCTAAAGCCGAGTCATCAATGCGTTCTTCACATAAACATCTAATGCATCATAACTCTATTATTATGTTTCTTAATTTAGGATTATTACTTATGTAAAACAATGACTAGATTCATATATCCTTAGCTTACATATAAGAAAGCATTTACATTGATTACATAATATTGTCATAAAACATGTTTGTAAATAAAAAATTTCACTTACTCCTTGGGAGAAAGTGAAATCGACTAATTCAAAATCATAAAATAAACTCTCCGTATCCATCAATATTTAATTTTCTTTAACTTCTATATTCTTCTTTCATCAAACACAATAACTTAATAATTGTCTTGATCATAAGATTACCAAAGACGCTTACTATAAACATTCTATTGCTATATGTTTCCTATATAACTGAACACGCCATATATGATTTTATATAACTTTGTTTTACCTTATATTAACTTAGTTTACTCCCATTATTAAACTTAAAATTTCACTCAGACTATAACCTTGTACAAATGAACAATATGTAAGAGTATTCTCAAAATGTTTTTTAAATGTTATGATCTTAAAGCAATGCCCTATATTTCCGACTATTACAATTATTAATCATTCACTTGAACTGAAACGTAAAATCTGACTTGAATTTACTGACAAGAAAAAAGTTCTTTCGTAAAATTCTTGCATTCAAAAATGTTATATGTTTTCTCACATATTTCACTACTCTTACTTTAATTTCAATAAATGTCTTCATCATTATGTCATTTTAACCAACATACATAGATTGAATGCTGTTTCTTTAACTAATATGAGTAAGAGCCATATAAAACCCAACGTTTCCTGTGACTTAATATAGTATACTACTGAATTTCGGGTAAGTAGTCTAAAAGTCAATTATTTTACTCCAGATAATCAATTTATGACTAAAATGGTTATATATATGCATAATAAATCAATCACTTCAAAATAACTGTTCTCTGAATATTTTTTTGAACAAACCAAACTCAACGGTAAACATTTAACAAGGTGTATTTAAAATTAGTAGTCAGTTTTAAATTCATCAGCTGCTTTTGGAGAGCTGGTATAGTGTGCAAGAACTTAGTTGATTCGGATGTAATCGATTTCTTCTAGATGTTTGTTAAATACAACCACAACTAAGAAAGAAGAAGACGATGTATTTCACTGGGTGAGTCATACATTCTTATGGGTCCATATTTATAAGTTATGGGTTAACTGATGTTAAATACTTCTCAGTTAGAGTTATGCAAATCTGAATGTTAATCAAACAGTGAGCAAGTAACTTTATAAACTACCAGTGTATTCGTATATAATTTCGAAGTATTTTTGAAGCCAAGTGAGTCTTCATCTACTGTCTTTGTGTTTTTACTTCCTTCAATATATCCACTGTTTCAAGTAGCAAGTACCAGTATTTATCATACAAAATAAGACCACTGAGACGTAATCCTTACATTTAAGTATTTTTTTATTACCTTTTATGATAAAGATATATCTTAGCTAGAAAACTCATGATATACATACATCAAAATACTAAGATTTTATGTATGATTTGTTAAAAATCAGAAAAAATGAGGAATCACATTGACGACATTGTGTACTATAAAGAAAAGATTTTCTCAGAATGAGGATTTGTGGAAATTGTAGTAATTTCACAATTGAACTCATGAGTCGACCTAAGATAGACCGCCATTATAAACCTGGAAAAACTGAACGGCCGTTTCGTCCCAGTGCAGGACTCCTCAACAGTGTGCATCCACGATCTTGCAAGCAGAACTCGGACCCAGGACCTTCGGTCTCGTGTAAGAATGCCTAACGTTCTAGACAACTGAATCAGCATCCAACAGTGTTGATGTTTAACTTTAATCAATCTACGAAATTGGGCGAAAATCTTCTATTGTCTTCGGCGGGTAACTATCCCACACCCGACACGGATCGGACTCCATAGGTCACGGCTTCTCACTAGAACTCCAGGGAATTCATCTTGAAGCTAGTCATTAGTGAGCGCATGAGTACTATCAGTATGGGGATTTGTGAGGATTGTATTTTCACAGTTGTATTCTGGAGTCGATCTAAGCTTTTGGTAAACAATTCTTAATGAAACTTATCACCACAATTGAGAATAATGCCTGAGTAGATAAATGTCTGTGAAATAAAGGATAAGCGACAGTTTCGTACTCATAATACTGTAGACTTTGTAATGAGCATAATTGTTTATTAAGCAACAAAAATTTTGTAAGTATTTGATTAGCACTCAAGAAACACATTTTAAAATAATACTGTTCACTGAGTTAGCCAGAGATTATGATTGATTATGAAACGAAATATTTGAGGCAGAATTCTAACGAATATCCTCTTAATGACAGCACTTATTTGTTCAATTAACACAATACCCTACTTTTTAGACAACAGTTAAGTGAATTATCACCATTTTGATTGAAATGGTAGATGAACTGTAATTTTATGTCATTCTGTTTTTTATAAACGTGTTTGAATCAAAACATCAGTCTTAGATAATAAGTTATTTCAGATGATCTTTATACTAAGTTGGTTATCTATAAATTTCTAACATCTATGCCCAACAGCTTGGTTATTCACTCATTGTTCAGGTTAAGTAAGATCCTAGTCACAAAAGTATCATGAGATCCAGTTACCCTTGTATTAAGCTAGTAATCCATAAGTTAATGGACGAAATCAATAGCATCCTTCAGTTATTCACTGTTTCGATCAACACCCTTCAAACTTACGAAAGTTAATTTATTCAAAAATAAACAAATAAGGAGTTTGAAACGATCAAACTACTAATATTCAATGATATGAAAGAAGTAAAAGCTATGAACAGCCTCCATAAACAATACTAGGATCAGTATGTTAGTTGAGTGATTAAAATGAGGTAAATGTTCCAGTGATGAACTCTTGATTCATGTAAAATCACTTTGAAATATGCATTTTATACGCGTTAAAAACAACTGCTGACTACTCTCAACCTAATTTAAATTCATATTGAACTACTGGGTTAAATGATTATATTTTGAATATCACTAATTAATTGAAGTTGATAATGCAATTCATTTGATTCTGGCTTAATTGACGATAGACATCATGCTAATGTTTGGATTTGTGGTCAAGAGAAAATGCCACTGAAAAGTCCTAAACTGATTAATAATAAAAATCTATCATCTTATTAATTTTAGTCAATTTTATCCCGAATACTTAGGCAAACATATTCTCTAGTACATTATTAGTTATTCTTCTTTCAGTTTGTTTATGACGTATAGAATTTCTTAAATATACTGATAGAAAAATTGTACATAAATTTTATTTGGACTGTAATTTAAGTATAATGATGAAAGTTTGGTGTCTAATTCACGAAGTTCCTCTTGACCAAACAATATTATTATCATAAATCATACAGTTTTTTCATTAGTTGAATTAGTGAGTCCATTAAAGCAAGACCAACACTGAACACATGAAAGCAATGAATGGACGTTTCGTCCTAGTATAGGACTCTTCAACAGTGTGCATCCACGATCCCCGATACGGGACTCGAACCAAGGGCCTACGGTCTCGCTTTCGAACGATTACAGTCCTAATATGACCGTTTAAATAATTTGATTAAATAATTCAATTTAGTAAAATAATCATACTTTAATCAAATAAAGGCATAGATATTCCTTACATTAGCTAAGAATTATATCAAACAACATAAAATATAACTCAGTATTCAAATCGAGGTTCATACATTTGGTTTGAAGTTACACATTTAAGCGCAGGTGGTTGATAGAAGTATAGCTAATAGAATGAAAAACAGTTCAACAACTTAGTTACTGTATGATTAATTTATTGATCGTTGAATACATAAGACAATCTTTATTTTTAACTAACTATATTGAATAAAAGTGAAAGATTATTACGCAATCGAATAATCTTCATTACATAATGTAGATCTTCACTTACCTGGAGGCATATTTTAGTGTTTTATTTGTTCACTTGTATAATTGAATCAGTGTTCACTTTTCTTTTTATTTTTGTTGAAAATCACCACCCAACAGAATAAATCCACAATAAAAATGAAATATAATTATCACCTTGTTTCAATGTATATTTAAACACAAAATAATTCTATGTTGAATTGTTTTGGATTAACGCATAAGTGTTTCTGTACTAAAATGAGTTAATTGTATCTTTCGAAATTGTTCGAATTAGGAAATTCTCTTAGATATAAAAACAAAACCAATCTAGGCCAAGTTTTAGTAGTTCAATAACTATGAACGAAAATATATGGTATTATGATTAACAAGTGCGTATGAATTTACGATGTTAATGCAGATTTCCTGATATCAAATACTTGAGTTTGTTTTCATGGGACATTTTAAAATTTATTGTGTAAAAGTCCAAATGTACCCAAAAAGTCTACTCTTTAAACATATGAAATATATGATTTTAAGTTGTTTGGATATAAGGTGATAATTGTGGTAACACGAAACATATCATAACATTTTAATAATTATGATCTGTGTAATTTACTGAAACTTTCTCCCACTTATGAAATAAGATACCAAGCACCTTGATAACTATGAGCTAGAGGAAAACGAATCAAGAGTATTTATTATGGATATGTATGTGTTATGTTGCGGGTGCATACACTTTTTGTGCCTAATGGTGCCTGTCCTAGTTATACCTGTCTAGTCTAATTTATCATTTAAGAAACATTGAGGGCTTTAGGGATAAGTGTGCTTTATTAACACGTGGTTTTACAACAGAAATATAGATAGGCAAGCCCAAGTGCATACACATAAATGTATACGAGTTTTGTTTAAAAAAAACGATTATATCCTTGGTCCTTCCTTGATATAGCTTATATAATTTAGATGGCGTACAACAAGAAGATAGTCACCTTTAGCTTATAGAATTTTAAAATCTTTACTTGACCTTATCCCTACCTTCAATCTTCTTTTACATACATTGATATACATACACATTTAGAAAGAGAGCCAGTCCAACTGTTTACATAACTAAATTTTGAACTAGAAATTTTACAGTACTATTTCAATTTTAAAGTTATTCTGTCGAAAATGAAAAGGTATTAGTTATTATGATGATCAATAAATTATGGTTTATTCACATTTCATATTTACGCGTAAATCTTGAACTTATAAAAGAACTGTGACACTAAAATAAAATATATAAATTGTTGGTAAATGCAATCTCTCAGTTATAAACGAAATAAATTAGCCAATTCAATAGAAATCATTATCTTCTTGAATGTGGTGGAGAAAATGTCACAAGAAAGATTATTTCTATAATCATACCAATAACACTATACTGACAGTGGAAATTATTGTAAACAGCTTTGCAAAACCATAAATAGTCGTTTCAAAACAGTTATGTAACTCGAAAATAATATCAGATGGTTTTGTGGATATTATAGTAATTTCAGTGGTTAAGATCATGAGTCAGTTGAAGCTAGAACACCATGGAAAACCTGGAAGTACTGGACGGCCGTTTCATCCTATTGTGGGACTCCACAACATTGCGCATCCACGACCTCAACCCCTGCGAGATTCGAACCCAGGACCTATAGGTCTTGCGCGCGAATGCTTAACCTCTAGACCACTGAGCTAGCCGGCATCCAATGATGTTAATGCCTGACTTCATGTAATTCACGGAACTGAACGACTCATCCACCATTGTCTTCAGTGAGTTACTATCTCACAACAGACCTGGTTGAACTCCACTGGTCACTACTTCTCACTAGAACTCCAGGATATACCTCATGATCTCAACCATTGAAATTACTATAATATCCACAAAACCCATCTGATATTAATCAACATATGCTCACTAGTGACTGGTTTCAAGAGGTATATCCTGGAGTTCTAGTGAGAAGTAGTGACCAGTGGAGTTCAACCAGGTCTGTTGTGAGATAGTAACTCACTGAAGACAATGGTGGATGTGTCGTTCAATTTCGTGGATTAGTTTAAGTTGGACATTAACTGTTGGATGCCGGCTCAGTGGTCTAGTAGTTAAATGCTCGCGCGCGAAACCAGTAGGTCCTGGATTCGAATCTCGCAGGGGGCGAGGTCGTGGATGCGCACTGCTGAGGAGTTCTAAAATAGTAGTTGTTTGATATCTGTTTGTGAAATAAGGAATTGTAAGAATATGACTATCATTCAAGGGGAAATTAGATAACAGTTACACTTGGATAAAATATGATTTAAATGTAAAATATATTTCATGGAAAGTTTGAAAAAATATTTTTTTAACGTGGAAAGTATTTTAGATGTTTGAAAAAAACTGATTTGAAACCTATCAAACTAGGTACCGTGTAAAGGGACACTCATCAATAAGATATATCCAAAATATCCATCGTCAACTCAATGGGGGCCCAGAAACAATTGGAAACATTTTATTCAGCCAGGATTCAATAGATGTCTCTCCGAAATATCCAGAAGGACGTTAGATCACGTGTTACGTTTTTGATTGGATAGATACCTTCTTACGGATGTATTCAGTGTACTTTTAGAGCTTAATGTATGATCAAGTTCATTTTAAATAGTAAAAATACGTAAATCTTTTGTACATACTTTAACCTTGGAGTGAAGCTGTTTCTTGAAATTTGAGCCTTTTCTCTTATGTTTAAGTATCTCTGTAGATTTAGTCAAAGGTTATTACAAGCAGCTAGGCAATCGAATTCAGCCTTCAATAAGCAGACTCATCAATAACTATTTGGTGTATATACATCACGGTTCTTAAAACTTGGCCTTCGGTAGTGTTTTCGACAGAGACGTTAAGAGCTATAGGCTTGAATATCATGAGAATAATCGATTAAATCGGTTTAACAGATGTGAAAAGGAACTAACTATCTCAAAGACTGGGTACAGTGTTTTCTTTATATTGATTCTAGAGGCTGTATATCAGAGAAAATGCATTTTGTCGAGTGAATTATATTAGTCATCATCCTGCAATATCTTCGACTGAGGTCTGAAAATACGAGGATTATCTACTACTAAATGATAATTAGTGTATAAAGTGTTAACCAACAAACTTATATCAATAAATAATTTTTGGTACCCAACACTAGTTATTTGTAAATTAAGCAACTAAAATCTCTCTTTAAGAATATCATTAGCTTGCATTTATTGGAGAACTTTTATGATGAGTACTTCCGTAATATAAAAAATACATTATTCGTTTTGCTTGTATCACATTACAAGTCCATGTGTGATTTAAACCTATTTGCAGATCCAGTGCAAATACTGAAGTCATATTTTCAATAGTGACCAGCTACAAAAAAATTTCCAGGGTTCTGATAAGTAGCCGTGACCAATGGAGCTAATCAGTATCGGGTGTAAGGTAATCACCTATCGAAGACAATGTAATCTTGTCGTGTAATGTCGTGGATCGACTGAAGTTAGACATTAATACCGTTGGCTCCAGAATTAGTAATCTAGAGTTGAGGCGTGCAAACTTGAAAGTCGTTGGTTAGATTCTCGTGTACAGAGCCAAGGATGATCACTCCGAAGTAGTCCCGTACTAGGGTTCATTGTCTCTAGGTTTTCAATGGTGGTCTAACCTAAATTGACTCGTGATTTAAATAGAATTCAACATTTTATACAAACTCTTATTGTATGTGAATAATCTTTATCAATTTATGAACTTAAAACATTTTTCGTTTTTTTTCGCGATAAATGAATCTAAATTTTCAAAAATATCCTGTCTTATTTTCCAGTTGTGAACAGTTAGAGTTTAGTATTTTAAATATGGATTATAAAAATTAAATCACTTCTAAATTGATAGTTCTTTTGTGAATAAACTCACATTTAAGCTGAATAGATTATTGTTAGTTTTAAGGATATTCAAAGACGATTTCGCATTAGTCCGAGTATAAAAGATAGGACGAAAAGAACTTAATGGTTATGTATTCATATATTTGTAAGTAACTAATCTCTTGCTGATTGTTACATAGCAGTAGCGCATACCATATACGTGCTTCACAATAAAGATTTGTACAACATTTTATGCCTCAAAATATTTTTGTTGAATTGGTAAAGTTTTGTTGGAATCGCATCTATCTGTTCTGTATTCCCCACAAGAAAATGCTTTTAGGGTATAATAACTATTGAATTGGGGCTGATACATTATTGTATAAACTTATTTGATACAATAGATTACGTTATCTTCTAGAGCCTACATTTAAACGTATATGTGTCCCCACCCGATTGTTCCTTCACTACATTTGGTGTTGCTGCCAAAGGGGTGGCGGGGAGGGTACAGGTTTGTAAACGCCGATGCGAGGACAGAAGAAGAATCTCTGGTTGGTGCGGTAGAATGGAGTGTTTCTTACAGGGCGGCGTAGACTGTAGTAGTGGCAGTCGATGGAGAGAAGAAAAGAGGCGTCCGGTTGCTTGGGGGATCTCGAATGTAGATGGCCCATTGGGTCACTGGAGAGTAGACGGTGGACTTCCTGGGTGCCGGGAGGACTTGACATTTCGACGGAGAGCATGACACAGATTATGGCAAAGAAGGAGGTGAAATGGTGTGGTGTGTGCTACTTATGTTGACAAGCATAAGTAGTATGTAACACGGACCAGAAGTGGAATGCATAGCAGCAAACGACTGAGAAGATTTAAGTGAAGAGAACAGGAATTTAAACAAAGAGTGACTATAATAGCAACAGCATTGAAAGAATCATTATTTATGTAAAGGACAACTGAAGAAAGAATGCACTCCATAATTTTGCATTGAACAATAAGTTGATCTTTCCCTCTCCTCTGAGTTCTTCGTTCACTACATTTGGTGTTGCTGCCATGTTTCATGAGAGTTAATAAGAAATATTCACGTCACAGGAAAATTAGGTCGGTAATATCTACAGAAAATTACATCAAATTGATTATCGATAAAATGTTTCAACAGTAGATAATCTTTGTGAAAATCATCAATGTGTTTTCATATGAAATCTAATCTTTTTATTTACATGCTTATAGAAGGCCAGGATATATGGAATCTATATTTATTATTTTATTTATATTTTTTCTATTTCTTATGAGGATAGTTTCGACTATCAATAAAATGCACCTAAAATATTGATACTATGAAAACAAGATGTTAAATGACATTCAAGTAAAAAATGTTACCTGTTGGTCAAATGTCAATATGATCCAAAGGATAAAATATTTATCCAATCGGTATCTTCGGTATGTGATCGTCTATGGTGAGTGTAAAGAAGTAGAAGAGTGTAATCTAGACAGAAAATGATTGTGAGACAAACAGTTTCACGAAAGGCAAAGTAGAAATTTTTATTAAGACAAGCAGATTTTAATTGGTATAAAAAGAATATCTTTATCAAACACTAAATACACTATTTATTGATTATTAAACCTAATATTTCCACTAGATATACCGAAGACGTTGATACGTAATAATGTTTAATTCTTTGTGTAAAAAGCTCACATGGTAAATGTGTGGCATTGCTAGAAAGATGTAACGACTCTTGAAGAATAGTAAATATGTGAAAATTTTGCATGCTGCCAGATAAATGTCTGTGAAACTTCTTGGATTTGACCTCAGTTTCCTAGTGCTCCAACAAAAGTGACAGACAT